TTTTTAATAAGAGTCAAACTGTTAGACTATAAATACAAACAATTTGGACAAATTTGGTGCATCAAGGGTAAAATGAGCTTATGTGATATTCTCAGTCAGTGTAGTGCCAACACTTCTCCACGCCGCAACTGTTGCTGTGTTTACAATTTTGATGTGCATATAAAAAGGCCAAAGGCGATACAGTAATAACATTCATTTGCTCATTAAGCCTCACAGGAGCGCAGATGTTTGTTTTTCTATTACGTACGTTAATAGCTGTGTGGACTGTGAACACACAGACACTCAGGCACTTTTGTTTCCTTCGTTGCTTGTCATGTGTTAAATGAAGCTGACATATTTTCATTTGATCTTTAGAGTGGATAAAACAAGCTCTTTGTTTGTGGATGTAGCAATGGCCCTTGCCCTTATATTCGCCCCACCAGCGCCCGCCAATTCATCCCTGTCCCACAATCAACCCCCAGCCCCCACCCACTAGCCTCAGTTCCCACAACTACCAACAGCCACGACATTCATGCTCCACTTTCCACCAAATGCAACACATAGAGAAACATGCACACACCGACTCACCCCCCAATGACTGTGTTGTTAACGTGTCTAGATTATTTTGTAATAAAACATGATACTAATCTGTTCATTTGATTATAAAGCATCATGCTGCTGTCAGTGTTTTGCAGAGCTTGTTAATACAAATGTGGCTTCTGCTCATTTTGACGACAGCTCTTGAATATTTAAATGGATTTTAGTCTGTGATTTGTTTATTGTTTTTTTTGTGGTTTTATAAATGTGACATTTTAGAAAATCAAACGTTTTAGACAGGGACTACATGTCAAAACTGTTTGGCACCAACTTTTGATGATAAATCTCACAGTGTAAATAAATCCCTATCCTCTTTACTCTTATCACAGACAACCTCCATCACAGTTGCCATTTACCTGCTAGAGATTTCATCACCTGGATGTGATCACTCCCAGTGTGGCAGGATGGAGGATCTCAAGGGGAGTTATTCCTTATTCTGTCTCTGCTGGAGTCTGCGGGGCATGGTAATTTCTCTATATAACTCTATATAAATTGTATGCTCTGACCTTCTACCACTATATCCCATGGAAGTCAAGGAGGCATACCTATAGTTCCCTTCCATTTAAGGCCTGAACCAAACAATGAATAATGAAACTTATGTAATCAAATTACAGTACAGTACATCTCAGAGGGGGTGGTGTCTACCTGGAGTTGTGGAAGTACTTTAGAGTTTCTGATAAATTCAATCCTTTACACTTGATGTTTCACTGCCACACCAATCCTTGCTTTATTTCTCAACATTGTACTGGTAGCAATTAATGCAGAACATTTCATACTAGAGTTGCAGCAGCAGCATACTGGAGCTCTGTACAGGCAACCTCCACACACAAGAGGAGAAAATACTGATGAGATAATCTGTCTTCTATTTGTAAGAAAGTTTGTGCTGTTGCAGGAAGAGAGACGACACACACAAACAACATCACAAAAAGATGACATACATAACAGCTTAAAACTAATTTTGGAGCTCAAGTAAGTTGTAATAGGGTACATAGTAACTCTGTCATTCCCACTTTGCGCCCCATGCTCCTTTCCCTGCACTATATGACTTTTGGCTCCGGGTCCTAGCAAGTGTACAACCCTTTACGGCAGTAAGTCACACAGTAAAGCAAAGTTATGGTTTTCTCTTTGATGTGCTCCGGCTGCTCCGCTCCTCGATGATGATTAACATAGTTTCTTGATGGACAGTAAAGTAACTGCTGTGAAATGTGACTGCTGTTAGCTAGTTAGCTTAGCTTGCTGTGTCTAGTGTTGTTGCACTTGCTTGATGTTTGGCTGTGTCAAACAACAAGTTTTTGATGATGAGTAATGTAATCTTAACAAATGCATTTGTACAGTTGTCCGTATTGCAACTGGACGGCACAAGGATACTCGTGTGTATGGACAGCTGGCAGTGGTGAGTACCAAAACTTTGACCGTGCCACCTTCACTGGGGAATATTAATCAAACTATGAGCCCTGTTAAACAGTCTGCTTCGAAACTAAAAGGGCCTAAATCCAGAATCCATCCATCAGAAAACACAAAAAAAATTCTCTGGGATCAGTGCTCTAAACCTAAAGGATTAGTAGGCGGACATTTAAATATCTGCAGCATTGTCTCCAAAAACAATTAACTGAAACATCTACTGACTCTATCCTGTATTTTCTTGGCATCTTGGAAACATGGCTAAATAAATTCTTTTCCCATGGCTGATTTTAATGTCTTTGGGTACAATGTGTGTAGAAGGGATAGAGACATGGGTAGAGGGCAAGGTTTATTAATCTATGTTAAAGAGACAATCAAATGCAGTCTTTTAAAATGGTCCATGAAACTGATCTGCAATGTATCGGATTGAACGTGTCATTGTCTCCAGAAATGTATTTTATTGTTATCTGTTTATATCGATCGCAATAATCTAACAGCTTGTTTTATGAACATGTACACAGCATTCGTAAAGAATGTGATGGTAGAAAATAACTTATACTTATGGGTGATTTTAACATCAACTGGGATAATAAATCACATAGTAAAAAACTTAAGAAGATAACAGACCAGTTCAGTCATTCTCAGCTGGTGCAAGGACCAACAAGAGCAACCAGTTCTTCGTGAGCTGATGTTCTCGAACAGACCTGAAAAAATAACAAAATCCTATAACCTACTAACTGGTTTATTCGACCATAATATTACACTATTGGTACGGAAACTCACCAGAAAATGGTTTGAAATACTATCAAAACAAAACAATACCACCAGATAATTCCAAAACATTTAATAAATAAGTCTGAAACTGCCCAAACTCTCCAGTGAAGACAAAGAAAATAAGGTCAAAGCCACTCTTCTGTACAGTCTGTACACCCATCAATGATGACAAACCAACTTTTAAAATAAAAGAAATAACTGAATCTGCAGTTGTAAACATTATAAACTCCCTAAGAGACTCTAAAGCAAAAGATGCACGTGGTTTGGATACCACGTTTTTTTTTTTAAACACACAAGGATGTCCTAGTCCGTCCCATTGCCCACCTGATTAACTTGTCAATAAGCAAGGGGATTTTTCTAAGCACCTGGAAGTCAGCTGTTTGACACCCATTCTCAAGGCTGGTGACAAAACAACTGTGTGAAACTACTGGCCCATCGGTATCATACCTGTAGTCTCAAAGGTGGCCAAGAAATGGATAACAAAGCAGCTGACCGCTCACCTTAACACAGGTCACTCCCCTTTGCAGCCAATGCAATTTGGATTCCATTCCAATCACTCTGCATAAACAGAAAACTGCTATTTTCTTAAACATGTGGCGGGAGGAGCCAGGGATCGAACCAACAACCTTTCGAATAGTGGACAACCCGCTCTACCTCTGAGCCGCTAAAAATAATAGCTTGCGTAGTATTTCAATGGCCTAATTGACCAATACAAGATGTCAGCCATAAAATATTACATAAGAAACTAGAGACGACAGGTATAGTCAGGCAATGTTAAGAATTTAACTAAAGTTAAATTTGGCAGCAGATGTATTTTCAGAGGGCTCTATTTACATGAAGCAAAAACCAACCCATATTTGGCATCTTTAAATTCCTTGATTTATAATAAACAAAAAAATTTGAGAACCGGATAATGATTGGCATTTTTGCTTTAAGAATTACAGAATCAATTTTCAAAGTAGTTGCTCGTTCATTTTCTGCAGTGAAATTATAAAACGCTATAGATTTAAATCTATCTAAAGTCATTTTAGTCCTGTTAATCGCAGGAATGCCACCTCTTTGAGATCTTAGTCCAAAGAAAATAAATAACAAAGTTCTGTAGTGTGCCATCTTTCTCTTTCTCTCTCTCCAAACATACTGTACACAGAGTGGGACTGTGTGTATGTGTGTGTGTGTGTGTGTGTGTGTGTGTGTGTCTTGACTGGTCCTCATGATAGCTCTTAACAGATAAATACCAACCTGTTAATGTGTTCATCCTTAGTACTTTAAACGCTGAGCAGCTATGAACATTTCACCTTGTGTGATTATACTGTTTCTCTTCACTACATCACTATTACATGTCAATGGTAGCTTGCAAGAGTCTGAAGAAAAGAAATGACAGGTTCACTGTTCTATTATGTTGGATCAGATTTTTCTGAGTGCAAAGAACATTTAACTGTATAACCTCCACCAGTATTCTGCACAGGTCTTTGTCATGTAAATCTTGGCCACTCTTTCAGCCACTCCACACCGCCTGTGTGGGCAGACTTTCCTCTCCAACCAGTACACTTCCACTCTCAGCACCAGCAATGTGGGAAATACAACTTCTATACTGTGCATCTTCCACTATCTGCTCTCAGACACACCCTTCTTCAGCTTTATGAAGCCAAAGATGTCCTTTTAATGACACTCTTTCCTCAAAATCCTCACTCAACTGAGCCAGTGGCGAACACCAGACGTCCCATGCGCACTCGGTCTAGGTTAATAAACTGTAAGGGGGAAAAAAGTTCAGATTTTTATTGGCAAAGCAATCAACGCATTGAAGACTGAGCTGCTTTCAGGGCGCTCCGCTCTTATTAAACACCAGGGCCGAGCCCTCATGTCCTCATGATGAGCCCCATCCTCTGTTTGATCCGAAACTTCCCCGGTCAGTTCAAATCCCTGTGGCCGTTCTCTGGCAACATTCGGGGCTGCTCCTTGGACAATGTGCCGCAACTTACAGCTCTGTCCTGAGAGAGACACCCATGAAGTAACAGGACAACCTCACACTCACCGGAGAGGCCACATGAGGTGAACACAGAACCCGGAGTGGATATAGCACGTATCCGTGCAAGGTGCACATTCACCCAGTAGCTCTGTCCTATCTTTTATCACAGCCCACTTAATGTTCTGAGTAACTGCACTTCAGTGTAATATGAGTGGCCCGCTGCCTCACACATGCACCCCTCTGGAAAAAAACCCCATGCAGATGATTAAAGTGAGCGCTTTACCTTGCTTGGCTGGACCACAAAACAGCGAAAGAAGACAGAACAGCCAAATTGTACTCTCCACCGCCATGTACAGCCTTTGATTTCCACCAGTGGGGTAGCAGCGTACGTCTATACAACCAGCTATACCGTTATACCGACATGCATACGTTGGAATCCGCTATTGTCTCCGCCGGTGCGTAAAGGAGTCTCTGTGAATGTTTCGGTCTCTTTGGTTAACAGTCCCCTGGCTTTGCAAACAATAAGGCTGCATTAGTCGGGGGAGAGCCGTCGTGTCTCTCGGCGGTTCAACGCCATGTTGCAAACGAATGTTAAGTGTGTGTTGGCTGCTGATCCACACACACACACGCATGGCCGCACACACGCGCGCGCACATACGCGCACACGCACGTTCACCAGACACTGGCTGGCTCGTCGCTGGAGTCCTGAAAAGCTGTCGGTGATTCTAGCACACCCCGTCTTCCTCCTTTTTGTCCAACTCCATGCTCCCTACTAACACTTTGGAGCTTCATTCAGAGCGGACACGCCGTGGAAACACTTGCAATACCACATTTGTCAAAATCCATTTTACCCCAGGCGCCCCCTCTCTCTCTCTGTCTGGAATGATGAATTCGTTAGGGTAATGCTTCTGCTAGAGCAAAAGGAAGTGTGGAGAATGGTCTGGCTAAGCGGCTATCTGTAATGACTGCAAATGTGTTGTCCCGAATGAACCTAATGTTGGAGACAGGTTATGTTTATGAGCGCTCACACGTTTCGGCATGTTCTAATCATGCAGAATCTACTCTCACTCATCCATATAATACCACCAAGATACTGCAGGCTGTTAGTTGTCTCCAGTGTTTGAGTGTGAACATGCACCTTTGTTTATGCCCGTGTAATAAAGCAGGTCTGGGTAAAAAATGGAGAGCAGGAGAGGCACATGTGCTCTCTAAGCAAGAACAGGCGAGAGGAGGGGGGGCGGCGACGG